CACCGCCATTCCTTCTTGCTGCTTACGGTATCAACAGTAAATATACAGCTAAAGATGTTCTCGATCGATGGTCAAGTATTTTTGATTCATGTATGAATCAAAATATTCGAATTTTAGGCTTCTCAGCAGATTGTGATCCAAAACAAATGAAAGCAATGCGGGACTCCGTGGGATTTGAAGAACATCCTAATCGTTTCGAAATTTCTTTACTTAAAGTGAGTGAACAAGTATAATTAGTTTCAAGTGAAAAAGAAAATCAATCGGGATTCGAGTAAACGATTATAATTGTACGGATTGATGATTTTCTTCATATTACTTAGAGGATAATAAATGTCTTCGGTGTCTATTTATAGGTTGACGAAGTATTTCTTCTCATATAAATCTATTTTATTTCTTGAGAATTAAAAATAATAAAATAATCACTTGCAATTATCGTTCTTAGAAAAAAAATCTGAAAATATCTTTCATCAGCTATCACCTATCAATGAATTTTTCGGAAAACAATATTAGTATTCCAGTACAATAAAAACAATGTTCAAGCACATGAATTTATTCTTATTCTTGTTTTCCATTGTTTAGAAAACTTCATGGTTTTTTTTTTGAGATCATCACAGCTATTTGTATGTTTACAAGATGCGCCACATTTATGTACTAAGCTGTACAACCGTCTTTTGTCTTCAAAAACAATTTTATTAATAGGGAAAAGGTATGCCAGCATTAAACATCTCATGGAATTGATTGAGAACCATTCAAAGATCGATCATGGATTAGCCATATCAGATGTTTGCCCAAAGGACAAACAAAATTATTCATCCTGCGAAAAGATCACGAGTGATGCTGTTTTTTCTTCTATTAAAAATGTTTCGAATTCTCAAGCAACTCAAGCTTATCTACAAGTAATATTTTTTGCTTTTTCTAAGTATGAAGTCGTTAGATGTGATATAATCGAGGTAGTTCTCTTTCAAAATATTATGTATGACATAACGAAAGTTGTTTAAAAGTTTTCGCTACCTCATTACTGAGTACTGCTGAACGGTCAAATTTTATTAATTTCATTTTGATAGATCATAAAATGTGTCCGTTTGGCCTTTATCGACAAAAGCACTAATATAATTGATCGTCTTTATGCTTGATGTTCAGTTTTTATTATACGGATCTGGTCTACGTGGTTACACGAGACAGCAGCTGATGAACTTAAGGAGAGAGCTTCGAATTTGCTCTCAAGGTGACGCTGGTAGAATTATTCCAAAAAAGAACTTCTTTATCACAGTACCTGCTCTTTTCTCACTCGAACTGAATGCACATAGCCTGACGTATCTGATTGTTCTGTGGGCTGAACAGAAAATTACTGAAGAAGCATTAAGTGTTTTTTTATGTAATTCACAAATATGCGAATGTACTGTCCATGCAGCTCGTTCGATTTCCGATCCATTTTCATCTGTGGTGAACTTTACTGTTCACGAATTTCTTCAGCGTGTCGAGAAACTCGCTGTTCTTCAAAGTGTCAAATGTTCGTCTGAATCCAAGAACAATAATATTAGTTTTCCCAAACATCACAAACAATCTAAACAACATTTTCAAGTACACTCAACGTCTACAATATCAACTACGATTACAGAACAATTGATTGAAGAAACAGTTTTTAATGCTTACATTAAAGCTAGTCAGATTCTATCTCAATGTGAACTTTCTATTGTTAGTCCTCATGATATGATGCAATCTTTTGAAGAAATGAATAATTTAGCATACAAAAGATTATCAAGATCAATATGTACAACTTCCAATAAAAATTCTTCTGAATCATATGATTATGAAGACGACAATGAGGGCGATGGTGAAGATCAGCATGCAGATGAAGAGGAAAACGAAAATGATGATAATGAAAAACATCAACCTAACAAGGAATCTATTGAGAATGGTATCATGAATGAAAATAATGAACTAACGTCAATGGATGAATTTGGTCTTGATTGTCTTCCAAATGTATCTAGTTCCACCATTCGAGGGATGCGTTTATTCGATTCTGTCAATAGTAATCAAT